ACACAGCTTCTGTGGATCGTTTATAGAGTTTGCTGCAGCATTGAGTGATGCTTCTAATGTGGCTTGATCTTGGTGATGACAAGCTGGCTGGGAGTCAGAGGTGCTGTGTTGTTCTAATCCTGCACGAGACATGCGAACATATGCAATTCAAAGGTGTCAGCTGTCCCTTATGAAGGGGGAATTGTGTAATTGATTCACAAAACTCGTGAACATCAGGAGGAGGCCTAGTAGGTTGGAGGCCATGGCTATTAGGTTGGAGGCCATCGCTAGTAGGGGAATGTTTTTTTGCGACTTGTTGGACAGGATTCCAAACCTCGACGTCCAACTGGTGGTGGCTACGGCTGCTTCCTAGCTGCCAAACGGCCAGAAATTGCAAAGACCCTGCCAGAGGGCTCCAAGATCACCGATGTGAGCAAGGCAGAATTCCTGTCACTGGTTGTCCTTTTGTTTTGTCTCTTCTGCTCGGAGGCAGCGGGTGAGATGTGGAGAGGTCTTACAGCATCTGAGAAGAAGCCGTACGAGGAGGAATTCTTGAAAAGACTGGCTGAATACCAGGAGGCAAAGGAAGCTTATGATGCTGCGAAGCAAGGTACCATTGACCTGCTTGAACTGGCAATGCCAAGCAAGAAGGCAATTAAGGCCGGAGCTTAGTGGTTTAGGATGGTTCAGGGCTGCTGCAGTGTCCGCTTGGACAGATGCAAGTCCAGCACAGCCACGGTGTTTTGGCCAGAGGGGCTCTCTGCCCATTGGGGCTTTGCTTCTCTTCTGGGGGTGCAGAAGATGAGGAAGCACTTTGCCTGTACAGCTTTGCCACTGAAAAAGACGCAACTGTTTTCCACAACTTGTACCGCTGGATCTCATCTTGCATTCCTTCCACTGAAAGTTTGTTCGAAGGCAAAAGTACTGTAAGCGATGATCGACGAACTGTCAAGGTCACTGGCATGGTGTTCTCTCACACATACCCATACACACACACTCTCTCTATCTGTCTTTCTCTGTACAAGTCGTCAGCACTTGCTTTGGTTTTGTGATTTGGTTTTGCGGCACGTCATATGGACAGATTTCAAAGTGAGGAAACAGGCGCAATCACAGGTACAGTAGTTGGATGATGTTCGAGTGTAGTATCTACTGGCAACGTATGTTTGCTTGAGCTTGTGGCTCGGGATTGTAGCTCTCTCCCAGCCATGGCAACGCTCGCCATCCACAACCATGAGACGCCATTGGATTTGGTGGCCAGAAACTTAAAGAGTGAGAGGCCCAGTCAAAGATGCGGCGCTCTCCGAGAGATTGGGAGAATGGGCCAAAAAATCTCAAGGAGAGAGATGGACACAACCGTGGTACCTATGTTGAGCGACAGTGACTCAGCCGTGCAAGAGCATGCTTTGTTGGCTTTAAGTCAACTTGGTGAGAAGTCGCACGGCTTTGCACAGCTCGTGGCATCAAAGCTAGAGACCAGATCAAAGCAAGTAAAGCGAGCTGCAATGGTGGCTCTGGGAAGTATGGGCCCCATAGCTGTCGGTCATGCAGGATCTATTCAAGCCATGTTGAATGATCGTGACCTTGATCTCGTGGTCGATGCCTGCAATGCACTAGGCAAGATGCAAGCAACTCAGGCTGCAGGTGATGTTGCAGCAAAGCTCACCAGCTCCGATTCAGATGTGGTCTTCGCAGCTTGCATGAGCTTATCAGCAATGGACAGCCATATACAAGATGTTGGGAAGCTGTTGAAGAACTCCGATGCCCGAATCAGGTCGGCCGCAGTAAATGCCCTGAAAGGCATGTCTGGATCTGAAAGCTACTCTTCGGATGTGGTTTCCCTTCTTGGAGACAAGGACAGCTATGTCAGGCTAGGAGCTGCAGATTTTACTTGTCGGCTTGGTGCCAAAGCCACAGACATGGTGGTACCCATTGGCAAGTTCTTGTCAGACTCTAATCCTGGTGTGGTAGCTGCAGCTGCCGCTTCTTTGGGAGGTATTGGAGAAGCAGCTGCTTCACAAATCCCGGCCTTGGAACAAGCCTTGCGCAACTCTGGTGAGGATTCTTCCACTCTGCCATTGACCGTTGCTGGCATTTCTCCAAAGCTGGTCTCTCTACTTCGCAAGCCTGCTTGTGCAGCTGCAAATGCCTTGGCCAATATGGGGAGTGCAGGTACCACTTCTGCACCAAGGCTTGTGGAGTGTTTGAACTCAAAGGATTGGGAGCTGCGAGTAGCAGGACTGCATGCTTTGAGCAAAATGGGAAGCTCAAGTGCTCGGTATGAGTATCACATTGTTGACTTATTGCGGGATGAGATTCCTCCAGTTGCGGCTGCTGCATGCTTGGCAATCGGTGAAATTGCCGCGGCGACTGGAGAGGCCAACAGTTCCACCGCACGGGCAGTTGCCGAATTGCTGGAACATCCACATCCAACAGTCCGAGCTCGAGCTGTCCAGAGTCTCAGCAAGATGGGAGATGAAGCCCATGCACACATCGAGACCTTCGTGTCTCTTTTTGGAGATAGGGCATGGAACGTCCAGGCTGAGGCAATCCGCGCAGTGGCCAAGTGCGGAGAGCTTGGGCAGATGTTTGCACCTGACGTGTGCCGCATGACTTATCAAGGTCTCACTCCAGCAGTTCAAGTCGCAGCCTGTGAGGGGCTGGCACGAATGGGCACCCGCGGTGCCTCCTTCAGAGAGGAAGTGCAGCAACTGGAGGATGATGGAGAGCAAGTAGTCAGGGATGCGGCCAGAAAGGCACTGGAGTTCTTTGACAGAGCTGATTCCGCTGCTGCTTTAAAAGACAGAGTGCCTGCTTTGACCGAGGAACCCCTGGAAGAAGAGTGACGACAGCCTGAGGTGGTCTCTTCCGTTTGCAAGTGTAAGATGCCTTTTCACTACAGGCGGGATAGGTAAAAAGGTCGCACTGCCGCACTGCACCCAGAGCTTCGCATTGGCACGCATACGTAGCTTAGTCACTCCTAGTCAACCGAGACTGCGTCCACAGCCTCACTTATTTCCGGTGCAGTCACACTTTTCATAAATTATGTGTATAATATATTAATATATATATATATACTGTAACACTGTATATATAATATATATAGAGAGTTTTCTTGTGACGACCACAGGTCATGTTTTCAAGATCTGTCTAGTAGCTGAGCTTGACTCGAAGAGGGTACTTGAGCGTAATTCAATGCATGCTTGATGCATTTTTGGCTCAGGATACAGGCATACAATAGTTAATGGCTAGTCAATTACTCTCAAGATTGCAATGAGAGCCCAGGCTTGCAGATAGCATCAGGATGTTCAATAGCTTTTATATCTACACAATCAACATATGAAGCTCGACTTGAGAGGAGCACAACCCACTAACACTCAGCAAATCTATTACACATTTTGAGATGGAGGACTTGAGCATTCCATCGGAGGCCTTGCATGAAGGGATCGATAGGCTGCAAACGCCTTGACACAAGTCCCAACAACTAGAGACAACAGGAAGAAAGAACAATGACAAATGAAGAATAAAGGTCTATTGGTCGAAACAAAAGACAAAGAAACGATAAAGAAAAGAAACTTCGTGTAACTTTGCCAAATGCATTTGGCGTCCGATGACGTACGGCAGGATGTTCACATTTGCCCACGGAGGGAGCACAATGACTTGGCGCCTTTGAGGCACAGCGAATGAATAACTCAAAGTGTTTAACATCCTCTGACTGTTTGTGGCTTTGTTCAAAAATGAGACATTCCGAGTTGACCCAGTTGCCACTTTCATTTTCAGGTCCATTGGTTGACCCAGTGATACGCTAATACGCTCGAGCCAAGCATCTCTTGTTGCAGGCGAGAAGTTCTGCATTGCTATGGTGTTGACTTCCTTTCCAACAAGGAGGTGGTGTCGGGATATAACTGCCGTAGGTCATCGTGTCACGTCACTGCAAGATTGTTTGGGTTTAGTTACCCACTCACAGACTTAGCGAGATGCGTACATTAGGTCTGTCTGGTACCTTTGGCGAAGTGGGACAGGTCCTCGAGGTATTTGCAGCCTGGGAACCCAAGGAGGCGCGCGTCCAGGGGACATGTCCATTCACGAAGGTTCAAGAGACATTGCTTTCAATCACCAGAAGCGTTTTTTTGGCCATGGCTGCCATGATTGTGAAACTTCTTGGACGACTCACAGACATTGCAAGGTGGAGTGGTTGGACGACTCCTCTTGCAACCTAGTCTTCGAGACCGAAGAAGCCGTTCAGAAGGTACACATTGCATGGCACGGTGTATGGCACCGTGCAGTGCGGAGTGCAGTGCGGTTGGCTGTTGGTCGTTTTCGAACCGGACTTTACATGAAAGTGTGTCACACTGCAGCTGTGGAAGCTGTGAAAGCGGTGAGCCTGCAGGCCATCCGTGAGCTTGCAGTTGCTGGAGATGGGTTGGATGCGTTGCGCAACAGTCCATGGACAAGAACGGGGCCCTTGTCAGTGGGCTCCAAGGACAGATCCAGAGCGGTCGTATTTGGATGAACATCAGGAAGTAGAGGTCGGCAATGATTTTCAGCCAGGACGAAAAGAAGGGGAAGGCTCGATTCTTTCCTGAAGCTAGAAGTGTGGCTCACCGCTCACGGCTCTATTGATTGATCTGAATGTGTGGTCATAGCAGGCGCGACGCGGGGGCCCAAAGAATTTCTGTCAGCATCTCAGAGATGCCGAAATATCATTAAACTTGACACCTCTCCATCTTTCCCTGATTTGGAGGATTACTGTATCATGGTCGCCTTAGTAAAATTTAGCAAATAGGTTATTTGTTAAAGTATCGGCATAGTATGGAAATGTATGGAACAGAAGCAAAACACTACAACATGTACTATCCATATATAGAGTTTGTCTTTGCATATTTTTTGAATGTCACCTTTGTCCAGAATATGTGTCATTCACTGTAAAACCATGAAGAGCTTCACCAGAAGGATATGGTTCAGCATTGTTCAGACAAAATACCAGAGTTCGGTCACCAGACTACAAAAATGACAGTAGACATGATAAGATTCAGGCCTAGAATTTGCCCACCTGCAAGGATGCCGAAGGAAAAGTTTACTCTACGGTCCACCTCATATGCAATACTGCTGGAATGGAAAGCTGCTAGAGCCTACCACACCAGGCATGCTGCATGAAACACTGCAAAACATTTTTTTAAGAGTCCAAGAACATCCAAGAACGATAAACAAATTGTATCAAGAATCAAGTTGTAAAGACATAGGCCGCCTCTTTTATTCCCGAATGCGTAGCGAAGGGTTCTCGTTGAACTCTGGGAGTCTGGGGGTAGAGCCTTGTTCGCTACCCGTTGTTTGAGCGGCCGCTGCATGCCGCTGCCGTTGGGGGAAGCTTTTGGAGAGGGTTTTGGCATGGAAGCGTGATGTGTCAGATTCGTGTGAAATAGCAAGGAAACATGTGGATACGTAAGATCTTGAAGTGTAGAGGATGAGTTCACTGCGCAGGCGCAGCGTTTTGTGAGATCGGCAGTTTTCTGCGCAGTCACATTGGGATTAGCGTTTGGAGAGTGGTGTTTCTGGGGTGTTGGATGTGGCTGTGCCATTGGGATTTGCGCTTCAGGGTGTTGCACCGAAGCTCTGTTTTCGTGACAAGTCTCAGCCGAAATGGCGACTTTGGTGGCTGCAAGTGTGGTCAGAACGTGTGGCAGGCGCAGTACTTTGTGCTGTTTTTGAGGTGAGGAAGTGGGATTTTCGTGGCAGGCGCAGGAGATCGTGAGGTTGCGAGGTGTGATGGGGGTTAGATTTCGTGGCAGGCGCAGTACTTTGTGCGCGTTAGACGTCTGGATGCGGAAAGTTTCGTGGCAGGCGCAGGGAATCGTGAGGCTGCGAGTTGTGGTGGAGGTGAATGTTGCTGTGACATTGGGATTCGCGTGTGAGCGGGCGTTGTTTGGAGGGCTGGAATCGCGAAACTGCTTGATGTGTGTGCTCCGATGGGTGTTTCCGCTTGACTTTTGGAGGGAGTCTCGTACGAAATGCTCGTTTCATGTGACTTCTGGAGGAAGTCTCGTACGAAAAGCTCGATTCAGAGACTGGACGCATGACTTTTGGAGGAATTGGCAGACTCGAAGCGTGACTTTTGGAGGAAGTCTTGTACGAAACGCTCGTTTTGCAGACTCGAAGCGTGAGTTTTTGACGAAGTCTCGTACGAAACGCTCATTTTGGAGGATTGACGCATGAATTTTGGAGGAAGTCTCGTACGAAACGCTCGTTTTGCAGGCTCGATGTGTGAGTTTTTGAGGAAGTCTCGTGCGAAGCGCTTGTTCAGGAGACGTGACGGTTGACTTGCACAAGAGTGTCCCACAAGAGTTACAAGAGTGCCCCACAAGGAGAGTGTCCTACAAGACTTTCCCACAAGAGCGTCGTACAAAGCGTCTTACAAGAGAGTCCTACAAGACAGTTCTGCAAAATTGCCCCATAAGAGTGTCCGACAAGAGTGTCCTACGAGAGTGCCCCACAAGAGCGACATACAAAAGTGTCCCACAAGAGTGTCCGACAAGACTGTTTCGCAAGAGTCTCCCGCAAGAGTGTCCCACAAGAATGTCTGACAAGAGTGTCCTACAAGAGTGCCCCACAAGAGTGTCCCACAAGAGTGTCCCACAAGAGTGTCCTACCAGAGTGCCCCGAAAGAGTGTCCCACAAGAGTCTCCTACAAGACAGTTCTGCAAGAGTGCCCCATAAGAGTTTCCGACAAGAGTGTCCTACAAGAGTGCCCCACAAGAGTGTCCCACTAGAGTGTCGTAAAAGAGTGTCCCACAAGAGTGTCCTACAAGACTTTCCCACAAGAGTGTCGTACAAGAGTGTCCCACAAGAGAGTCCTACAAGACAGTTCTGCAAGAGTTCCCCATAAGAGTGTCCGACAAGAGTGTCCTACGAGAGTGTCCCACAAGAGTGACATACAAGAGTGTCCCACAAGAGTGTCCTACAAGACTGTTTCGCAAGAGTGTCCAACAAGTGCGTCGCACAAGAGTGATAATCAAGAGTGTCCCGCAAGAGTGTCCCACAAGAATGTCCGACAAGAGTGTCCGACAAGAACGCCCCACAAGAGTGTCCTGAAAGAGTGTCGTACAAGAGTGTTCCGCAAGAGTGTCCCACAAGAGAGTCATAGTAAGAATGTCCCACAAGAGAGTCCTACAAGACAGTTCTGCAAGAGTGCCCCAGAAGAGTGTCCGACACGAGAGTCCTACGAGAGTGTCCCACAAGAGTGACATACAAAAGTGTCCCACAAGAGTGTCCTACAAAACAGTTTCGCAAGACTGTCCTACGAGAGTGTCGCGCAAGAGTGACAAACAAGAATGTCCCACAAGAGTGTCCCCCAAGAGTGTCCCACAAGAATGTCCGACAAGAGTGTCCTACAAGAGTGCCCCACAAGAGTGTCCCACAAGAGTGTCCCACAAGAGTGTTCCGCAAGAGTGTCCCACAAGAGTGTCATATAAGAGTGTCCCACAAGAGAGTCCTACAAGACAGTTCTGCAAGAGTGCCCCATCAGAGTGTCCGAAAAAGGATTTGGCCAGGTGTGTATGTTTAGCAGTCTCATGTCGCAAATGCTTATGTACACAGAAGTCGCTGTGATCATTTTGCGCAGAAAGATTGAGTACTGGGCCCCCCTTCTCGTAATAGATAAAGATCGGCATATGATGGGATATGTAACCATTCAAACGCGTTTGCATTCGGGTTCGTGGGCTCCATCTTGTTATGTTTTTTCATTTGAGCCGCCCAGTGACACTGTGCTAGGTTTTCAGCTGAGAGTGGCTTCTGAGGCAGAACGTTGCTGTGATTTGTTGGCCGGTCATTTACGATGGCATTGGGTAGCACTGATCAGGCAGATCGCAAAGATCCAACTCACTCTGGACACACTGACTCCATCTACTATGCACATGTTAAGGCCAGGCCTGGTGATGCCAGGCAGCATGTGACTCCTCTTGTTTTCTTCGCATCCACAAGTTCGCCTGCCATGGGGACAAATTTTTGGCCACATTGAAGAGCAGTGCTCGAACCTTAAATTCTTAAAGGTGACACTGAAGGGCCTTCGCCGGCTACAATGAATGAGCCTTCCATCCTGCCAGGAGCAGCAGGCAATGCAGAAGCAAGCCACTGAACTTCGACGCATGAAGAAGCGTCAGAGGCAAATGGTGCACAGGCACAAGGAGATCAGTCTCAGTTCCACAGTGGTCCTTACATGTCGAAACGAGAAGACAGAAGACATGTGTTATCATTTGGGGATCTTTGCATTCAGTTGCAGATCACTCAGGAGCCAACTCCAAGCAAGACCGAAGCAATTGTGGAGAGCGAAGGTGAGAGAGCCAGCTTTGCTGTTTTGCCTCCTTTCAGAGGTATTTGCAGATTGGACCCAGCCCAGCCCAGGTATCTCAAAGAATGCCACTTGGTGCCACTGATAAGGAGTGCTGACAGCCGCCAATAGCCATGAGCCAGCAACTTTAGCTAGACTCTTCAGAGGCCTATATAAGTCAGCCTATATATATATATAAGAGTCAATCATGGTAACAAATGTCAGATGGGTGCCTTAGGGCAAAATCAGAATCATGAGATTCCCTCACCACCAAATGATTCAGCTGGGAAACTCTTTCACCCGATGAACATCTACGCGATGGTGCCCAGTACCAGGGACATAGGCATTGCTGCCAGACGAACCACTGGCCAACATTGCTCTAAGTGTTAGATCCACAATGAGCTGCAAAGCAAGGACCCAATGGCTTTTGAGCAAGGACCCACTTCCAATGAGACAGTCTGAAATATATATAATGTTGCATTGTATAGAGGCACATAATTGTGTAGACATACACAGCAAATACATGCATATAACAGTTTCGACATCCTTCAAGCTAGACCAAGTTGTGACAGCCTCATGTTTGAAGGGTTTTGCTGTAAGTAAAATGTTGATTTTGCTACTGAGGCTACAACCGAGCTAGCGGCAGATTCATCTGATGTGTCAAAGGCTATGTCCGCTGTAATGGCTTTGAATACAAGAACTTTGGATATTGGTGAAGGTAGTGGGAATTTTCAAAAAGCGGCATTCAAGAGCTCTTAGGTAAGAACGTTGTTTTTTTGCTCACACATATCCTTGACTTTACACCTTTTCTTCAGTTCTCAAGATTTGGTGCCAGGTCCAAACAGGCTCAATCCTCTCCACTCGTTGCAGCCTTTAAGTTATGATAAGTATCACATTCCGAACCTCATGCCTCTAAGGCTTAGCCTCATGTGGTCTTCTGGATCCGAGACGCTCTTAGTCTTATGCATTATTCTTGTCTGGAAGCTTGGAAAAGGAGATATCGAAGGTGCGATCGTTGTCGCAACAGGCTGCTTTTCCTCAAAGCTCCAGCAGCCCAGGGCACAGCCGGTGCAGCGCAAGGTGCATCATACTTTGTGCTTACTCCAATGAATGTGAATCGGCACCGCAAACGAGATGCGTAGCTGTGAGTTGCGCATGTGCCCACAACAGCTTGCCTTCAGATGAGTGAATGGTGCATTCAGTGCGAGAAGAGACGCAACACCGACCTGACACTGCAGCAGGCATACAGAAATCGGAGGAGGCTGCCAGGAGCATAAGCTGTCAAACTAAACTCTAATCGATGATGTTTCGTTGCCGAACTTTAAGGCTCAGCCTCAGGATTTGAAAGCTATGCTCAAACGAGCAGAGGCCATGCTTGGTATAGTATCAAAGGAGTTGGATATTAATGTGGGAGCAATGACCGATTTTGCAGGCAGAGTACGCAGCGGCCTGCACCCCAGTCCACGATAGCTGAGATAGATTGAGCCTGTTGGAATTCCTGAAGCTGCTGCTGTGCTTCTACCTCTGTCTGTGAGAGGTGCTTCATCCAGCAAGAAAAACCTCTGCGCGGAGCTCGCGGAGTTTGTCAGCTTTGTCGCTTCATCACAAAGCAACGTGCCAAGGCCAAGCCAGCTCGTGGTCGTGAGGATGGTCCGAGTGGTCGGCAGCGGGAGGCGCAGACAACAATACGCCAAATGAATTGTTCTGCAGCTTCTGCGACGGCATGAGAGAAAGCTTTGAGAGGGTACTCCTGGCCGTCCTGGTGGCAGAGATGGCATGCCAGCCAAAGGATCGGGTAGTTTATCACAGAAGATTACATTTGCCTTCAATTTTACGTGAAGGATTTGAATGTGAGAAAAGATACCAGATTGCCTGCCCTGCCCTTGCACGCAGCTTCCTTCAGGGCAGCAGAGAGGAAAGAAGCGGAGGCAACGCCCTTGCTACCCCAGTCGCTTGCAGCTGCTGCCAACATGCTTATTGTTAAACATATTCACATTGCTTGCAGTCCCAAGGCCTGTCGAGCAGGAACCAAGGCCCGTGAGCGAGGTGGGTGATTAAAAGTTGAGATACGAAGCAGGACGATTATTCTACTCAGTCTCCTTTAACCTTGAAGTTTGAACACATCGCTGACTATATACATTGTTCAACTTGAGCAAATGTCAGCCAAGCAGCTTGATGGAATTTCAGTTTTGTGGGGATCAGTCTTGGAATGAATCCCGTGGAGGCTGCACCACCGCAGCGGAAGATCGAACTGCTTCCTGAGGCATTGACGGGTTGTGAGACATAGCAAGTGTGGTCAGTGTGGTCCACATGTCCCTGTGGTGCTTTAAATGCATCCAAACACCTTGAGAATGTCTTATGTTTCTCACCAACTTATATTTTCTAATGGATCTAGCCTGATACGACGTATCCCCAGTCGATTCTGGCAGGTTGACGCCTTCTTGAAGAAGCATGGTGTCAGATGTAAAAGGCCTTGGAAAGTGAAATAGTGGAGAAGGCAAGTTGCTTTGACGGTGCTTTCTTGGGTTTTGGAGGTTTGTGCTGCACAGATCTTTTAGATCAATCAAGTATGCGCTCCTTGATTGCCTTTAAAGTGGTTGCTCGCAAACATGCCTCTATACACATCGTTGTGGATTTAGTTTCAATCAGTGTTTCAATGTGTGACATGCTAAGGCAGCAAGAAGCTGCAAAGACCAAAAAAAATGGCCCAGAAGCAGAGCAACTCCGACGTAGCGGAGTTGTCCTTGGCCAAAAAAACCGAAGGAGAATCTGCTGTGTCTGCCTGGGATCAGTACATGAAAGCCAATTCTTCTTTCACCTCTCACGGAGTCTTTATGCAAACCGTGGCCTGGAAAGTCGACGGACGACGGGTCCTTAGTGTGGTGCCTCATCCGTTGATGACGGACATCGAGAAGGTGGCAAAAGCTGTACAGAAGCCCCTCACCGCGGTGCACCAGTGCAAGTTGAAAGACATCTCCACGGAAACAGGCTTCCCGGTCTTTGTTTGTCCTCCCTTTGGATATCCACCTGATGCCGACGGTCGTCCACCACTTCTACTTGTAGATAGTTCTGTGACAGACCTGAAGAAGCCTTTGCTCTTTGACTGTGGGACTACTGGCCTATGTCTCACAGTCAGTGAGTTTTTGCGTAGCACCAGGGCAGCATGTGTAGAAAACCTGGCGCGCGCAGCAAAGAATCCCTCTGGCACCGCATCAGGCGTGAAGATTTCAGAGCATCCCTCTGGCACTGCATCGCCAGAGCCTGCCCCGGAACCAGCTCCAATCACCGGAGTTATGGAGCCGTGAGAAATGTCAATCGTTCGCTGCAAAAAGATATTGGTCAGACAAGGCATTGAACTGCCCAAAACTCTTGAAAGAATGTTGATCTCGGAACATGCTGTGCTGTGTAGCCATTGCTGACGTAATGTGCGCAAGCAGAAAAATGGGCCCAAAGCCCTGACAGCTTAGGAATGCTTAGGAGGTGCAGAAACTTCATTGAAACACTGTCTTTGGACATGAATTATCAACTCGACAATCTCTTGAACGATTGCAATCCAAGGACATCAGACATAGCCTCGGCAGTGTAAAACCCTTTGGACACTTGCCTTGAAGGCCTTGCATTTGGGCTGAAAAGACCTGCATAATTTGTTCGTTGGGTATTCGCAGTCCTACCTTCCTCAACATGTCTTAAATGCTCTCGGTGAATTTGCCTTTATGCGTGGTAGCAGCGCACGTGCCATTGATGACTTCGCCAGCAAAGTCAAGGGCTTTGGCCCTATCCTCAGTTGGGGAATGTTGTCCAAAGTCATGAAACTACATGAAACTACGGTATACACTGCGAACACCCTTTGAGCACCCTGAGTTTTTCCCATTTTGATGAATCACATGGCACCGAAGGTCGAAGCTCAGCCGGGTCAGAAGCGGAGGAGAAATACTTGATTCGTGCATACCTTCATTCATTTTGCCCGAATTTCCTTTTGACGTCTTCGGGACATTTTTGGATGATATTCTGTGGTGATTTGACAGCTTTGCTGCTAGCACAGGCCTCACAGGATCCAGAGGCTCAAACATCACAGACGCAGCCCAGCTCGCGTGGCTGGCTGTTTTGGCAGATTTTGTGAGCAGGGAATGGTTCAGTGCTGTTTTGGGATTTTTGGGTTTGAGTTTGGATTGTTTGGATAAGTTCGGCTCAAGTGGTAAACATCACTCCTTTCAACCACGTCTTTCAAAATAAGGGTGAAACTGGATTCGGATCCGTCGGGTTTGCTTTGGAGATCCGCCAGGCTTGGAGGTAAATGATTCCCAGCAAGTCGATCTCTAGCAGACTCTAGCCACATTTCTAACATCCTTGTAAATATGCGTTTGCAAGGTTGGAACGGAACCATTTGAAAGCTTCAAAATGATAGATGTTTGGCTTCTTCTGTGTCGGCCTTGGGCTCACTAGATGTGCTGTCCATGCCCAAAGCTGTGTACACTTGCGCGCAGTCGGGCGCAGTTGCCGTGCGTTGGTAGAATGTGGTTTCAACCTGAGAACAATACTATATAAGTACATACTCTCCCTTCTCAAGCCATATAGCATGTGATAACCACTTGATCTTAATTGATGCTGTTAGAACCCTCTACTTTGCATGTCCGGCGATGCCTCCACAAAGCACCGGCTTAGGTAAGATCTCTCTCCACTGTGTATGATTAACTTCTTCCAGCTTTGTGGCAATTGTATACTGGACACAGCGCTTGTTAAGTGGCTTGTTTGAATCATGGAGCCCTTCTGCCTATTTGCAGTGTTCTGCCTCTGACTTTCGGAAGACGCGTCGCCAGGTGGTTTGCCAAGTTGAGTACTGCGCTGCCCAGTGTTGCTGAGGCGGCAGCAGCGGCCACTGTCCGGGTCCTAGAGACGTCAAGCCACGTCGTGCGGTGGCATACGAGCTGAGAGAAGGCAGCAAGAGCTGAAATCATGAAAAGGAATGGTGACTTTGACGTTTATTTATCAATGTTTGGCACATTCTTGGGCAAATTGAGGCAGGCGATCTGAATGCCTTGTCAAAGGCTGCAACTAGTGCACAACAGGCAGCTTGCGTTGCTTTTGCCAGGATTCCTACCTTGCCAAGAACTGTTGACCATGCATTTGGAGCATGCAGCTGACCATAGTGACAATTCCATTCATCACTGGCAAGGGGTACCGGATATGGCCAAAAGAGACATGGCCGGCATGCTTTTTGATTTTGAGTTTCAGAGAAGTTTGCTTGATACTTGATGCACAGGGCCTGCAGCAGGGCATCACTGACTTCACTGGCAAAGCAAAGGAGCGAACATGAGCTGACTGAGCAAGTATGAAGAATGCTAGAAACTCCCACGCTTTCAAAAATACAAGTAGTTTCATTGTTTTGACTTTGAGAGGGCATTGCACGGCAAGCGTCCACTACCATTTCTGAGAATGCAATCTCTCGAGAGAGGCCTGGTCAGTGTTGAACCACTGTCTACAAGTGCGAACGTAACATTTTGGAGCCAAGAAGTGTGCAGTGTGCTCATGAACACAAGGAGAGATTCGAATACAGGTGGATGATGTTCTTTGGTGGAGCTTTGTTGGGCTGCTTTCTAATGAGCTGGATTGCCCAGTGTCCTCCCAGCTGCCTCACTCTTTGATTCCTTTCGTTCTCCAAGGCCTGGCATTCTTCTTTTTGCAGGAAGCTCGAAAATTCTCAGAAGTAGATCTTCCAAATAAGAACTCAGTTGAAACGTTTTGAAGTCGCTGGAGTTTGGGTCCTTGGGTGTGGGTATGTCCGGGTCTTGGAAGTCTTTTGGCCAAGGCCTATGGTAGTTCTTGCTCCGCAGAAATTTGCGTTGCTTTTTACCTTAGGCAGGATGCAACGGTTGTTTTTTACATGTTTTTACACTACTTTCGGAATTTGTGGCCAACTTTTGCTCCCCTACGCCAGGGTCATTGTGCTTTCTTGGGAGCTTTTCAGCACTTCGAGGACATTCAGCTTTCCTGAGGTAAGACACCGGGCCTGCATGTTCATTGTATAATTAAAATTTTGGGAGCGTTTGCTCCATTGTTTTTGCAGCATCAAGGCACCTTCTTTCCCGTAGTCGTTTGATCTTCACGCTGACCTATGCCATGTCAATGGCCTTGGACTCAGAAGAAAACTGTGCTTCCTGAAATAGGTTTTTTCTTTCAACATGTGCCAAAAAGGTAGGAACTTTGTGGGCGTCTTTGGTTTACAGGCAGGGATGATTGAATTCAGGGATGATTGAATCGCACTTTGTGTCACGTTCTGATGTTGAAGTTGGCTGTCATTTGCCTGCTGTCCAGAGGACTGAGGATATATATATATATGGTTCAAATGTCATCGCTGGCAGGTCTTACTTGTTGGCCATTGCTTTCTCAGCCGTGCAGGCTGCGCTTGCAGAGCAGGAACTGAGACAGTGTGAAAACGTGCTTTCACAGTTTTTTCTCATTTCTCAAAGGCGATCCGATTCATGTATTTAGCATTATTCATAGTTTGATCCGCTGCTTCATGAGGTCAGCGCTCTTTCGCCTGGACCTCGAGTCAATGCGATTGAATGATGGTTCCTCGTGTGCCGAGAGGTGGTTCCTCGTTTCGTACATCCCTGGTGGCAGGTGCTTGGAAGCAAGAAAAAGACACGAAGCATGCTCGTAGAATCTTCTACGCATATAACGGCACATAGCAACGAAGACAAATCAAATTCTCTTAGTCGCAAGACGATTTGGACTTCTTGTAGGCGAGCCCTGGGATTTGTGACTGGCATGGCGTGGAGGCCTCGCCCGCAGTTGGAAGCCTTGACCTTTCAGTTTTTGTTGAACCCCCAGGATATGCAAGGGATGCTGCAAGTGCGCAAGTGCCTTCCTCAAATTGCGCAGAGAAGTTACTGCTGGTCCAGCTCGACTCATGAAATTGACATGTTTTCAACTTGGATGTAGCCTCGACAGACTTCAAAAGTAGAGTCTCAGAAACAGCACATAATAATACAATAATAATACAATAAATATATAGAGAGATGTCGGGTGATGTTGGAGACGAGTGATAAGATTCTGGTTGAGTAAAACAGCGTATTTTCGACAATGGCGTCACACATTTGCGTAATGTTTTGTCCTATTCCTGTAGACAGTGTGGTGTCGCGTTGTTTCACTTCTTTTATCGAGAGACTTGGGAACAATGAGAATCCAAGGTAAAGGTTCCTTGCTGCCCTTCTGATGGAGTGTCAAACGTTTCTGGAAGCGCGAAGAGGTCGATTTGCATACCTGGAGCGCAAAACGGACCCATGGTCAGTCATGTCAGTCATACTCCATTGAAGCTTTGGTTTGGCATTGCTCCGTCTCCGTAGATAGTTGATCGAATGGTGTGAATGCCACGTTGGCTTGCAGCCTTTGCCTGATACATGCACCATCATGCACCTATTGCATTGATAATCAAGCAGGTCATGTTTGATGCCACTACGGCAGTAGTTATGGGACCTCTTAATGACAGGATGTCGGAGCAGCAAAGGCACGAAGCTATTTGGTTGAAACACGTTGAGCCATTTGCGTAGTTAGGGTCGCGCTTGAAGATCGGCAGGCACTTTCCTTTAAACTTTCTGGAGCATGTGCTTCGCAGTAACATATTGCTATAAAGTCTAAAGGTTTTGTGTTGTACGACAGATGGCAGGCATGGGACGCCCGCAGGACTTTACAACCAGGCCAACTTTTGGGACTCATGACTCTGTCATTTTACACGACCCTGCTTGCAAGTTACATGTTTTGGGATTGGTTTGTGAGTGTGTTACTTTGCAGCCGTCAAGTGCATGCTTGCTGCATTTCCTCATACTGTACAGCCCCATGGAGTTGTTTTGCGCGTTTAAACATTTTTACAGCCACATGTGCCTTGTTAATGATAAACAAGAGACACGCAGAGACTTGCGTGTGTTGGAAAGTTCCAAAGACTCTGTCACCGGATGATCTGGATGGGTGCTATGCAGTGGCCTTGCCTGCTATTCATAGGCGCGGCGTGACAAAGCTTCAAGAAGAAAGATCCACAGACCTTTGACGCTTTGTGCATTCAAGAGGTCTATTTCTGGAGCTGACGAAGGTTGGGGCGGTTTCATGTTTCAGAGAGAGGACCTGCGGAAGCCTTCTTCAGTGACTCAAAGACTCTCAGTCACTGCCAGTCTTTTGGTATCAGGTGACAATTGTAAATGCTCCAGTCAGTCAGTCAGTCAGTCAGCATCGTCTCAATATGTCTCAATGCAGGTGCACTCTGGATCAGCATTTCCACTGCACACAAGCGGACGTGCGCCAACAGCTGGAAGCAGTCATGGTACAGTGTAAAGCAGCTTTTCTCCTTGGCAGGTGTGATTCTTGATGCGGAAGGACATCGTGTGCGGCTGAAGTGTGTGAATTGGTGCGCTCCCAGCATCAGCTTGTGCAATTGTGGCATCCGTTCTTTACGGCACTGTTTGCATGTCAGGTATGGAGCACATCTGCCGCAACTGGTCGCAAATGGATTGGATCGACGGCAACCAGGACTTCGATTCAGAACAAGCATACAGGAAGTACATCTCTTGCAGACCCATATGGGGGGGGTAGGCACAAGAAGCTACTAGGAGCAAAGGGCATCGCTACTAATTAGGAGCAAAGGGCATCGCTACTAGTAACAAGAAGCTATTAGAAACAATAAATACATAGAATTAGAATTACAATGAATTACATGTGCTTTAATTGGAATTTAAGTAAATGAATCTAAGACTCGGCTGTGGCCGTGGGTCCAGGAGAGATTGCTGAAACCATTGCAAAGTCCGGCTTCAATTGTTTGGAGCACAGGAGTACATACATTCCGCTGATCGATTTCAACAAAACTTGCCTTGAGGGTGTCCCATTTGTATTTGAGGTGTCCGGCTTCCCTTCAGCTTGGATGGTGTCATTGGCAACTTTACGATTCCTAACCCGAAGGCCATGAGCGGCCATGAGATCTGTTCGAAGCTTGTTGGAGGTAGATAGGCGATGCTTGGAGGCCATCGCCATTAGGTTGGAGGCCATTGCTAGTAACAAGAAGCTACTAGGAACAAGTGCCACGCTAGTAGTAACAGGTGCCTTACTAGTAGTAACAAGAAGCTACTAGGAACAAGTGCCACGCTAGTAGTAACAGGTGCCTTACTAGTAGTAACAAGAAGCTACAGGAACAAGTGCCACGCTAGTAGCAACAGGTGCCTTACTAGTAGTAACAAGAAGCTACTAGCTTGGAGGCCATTACTATTAGGTCTTGGAGGTAGATCGAGTTCGACAGGTGTCGCTGGCCGGATGTCCCGAGCTACAGGTGTCGCTGGCCTGGTTGGGCCCCACTGATAGGTCGATAGACGACAACTTCCAGAAGCATCAACAAACACACGAAGGTACTGTTATTTCAGAAAGCTTGGTGGAAATGCAGCATCATCAAGTTGGAGCTCCCAAGCTTTGGGATATTATGTTGAACATCTCAGTGAAGCACTGTCAAAAGTGCCTCCTGATGCTTTCTTCAACGATCTTCAACACTTCTTTGCTCAGGGACTTGCCGGGTTCGGTATCATTTCATCAAAAAAAAAGCGATGTCCATCGATTTCCTGATATCAGCTCTTTCTCTTTCTGCTTCCCTCCTTCCTCCACTGCTTGCAGGACCTCTCGCCCTTGGAGGTTTTTGACAGCACAGTCAATGCCCTCACTAAGAGTGGCTTGATGGTAGCTTGGACGAAGTGAATATTTGAATGTATATATATATAATGATTATTGGATAGCCTAGCAGCTCAAAGCTTTTGTAATCATAATGATAATGAGGTCATTCTAAACAACCACGTTTCCACAAGTATGTGGCCGGCAACTCAGCTTTAGTTCGAGCCAGATTGTGCAAAGCATTTGGCCAACCGCATAGGTGTTGCAGCCTTTCTGATGGAGAAGGCCTTTGGTACACAGAAAAGTACCCAGAATCATCCTTTTTCCAAGCTTTAAGCGCGATCCCCAGCATAGTCTCTTGCTCTTTTGAGTTCACAAATAGACCTTTTTGTTGCAGCAATAATCCATGTTGAGGCTTCATGGCTCAACGCTATAAGGGCAATCCATTGGCTCTGGCCTGAGAGCTTTAGGAGCAAAGCCTTGTGAGTTTCAGCGAAGGCTTTAACCTGGTGTGTGTGTGTGCGCGTGCTGTTTTCTCTTCGCCTTTCCTGTGAGGTGATCGGTTTCGATCTGCGCAACGAGATTCGACCATCAGGCAACTCTGTAACAACTCCGTGACGGATGGACCATGACAGGGCGTTGAGTTGCCAGGTGGACGATGGCCACAGTGGGGAAGCAAAAACAATGCAACTGATTGGGCTGCTGCTGCAGTTGTCGCTGCAAAAGGAGTGCTGGATGCAAATGCCATGTGCCCAGCTATCAAAGAATGAGATCAAGACCGACAAGACCTAGCATCGAAGAGCTCCAGCTCCTTTTAGGATCATGTTGAAGCTCAGGAGAACATGCTGATCATTGTCTCGGGTCTCTATTTCAGTATCTTCCTGTGCCAGGCTCGCTGTCAGGGATTGGACACGGCAAAGTAAATTTGTCGCCCTGTGATTGTGGCAGTGTGATTGTGGCAGGTCCCAGTCTACCCTTTGCACGAGGCCGCTTTCGTTATTCCCCAAACAGTGTGGTCACTCTAGGGGTTCTTACGGTAAGTGCAAAGCACCGGTGTCCAATCGAGGTGTTGCACCGACGTGTCCGGCTAGTTCGCTACTATTTACAGTACAGTCATGCCTCTCGAAATCCTCGAAGTGCATTTCGACTGCGCCTGCTTGCAAAATCGGCTTGGCGCGCGCGGGTGCTTCCCGCGACTCCGCTCTCGCTGTGGTGCTGCGTGCATTTTCGGACATGGTGGTCACTTTTCATGGCAGGCACAAGGGATACCTCGTGCTTTGGTGGTCCAAAGTCGACTTTTCGTGACAGGTGCAAGGGATGGGAGCGGCTTTACTTCGAAGTGCAGACTTTGGGTCTGGCGGTCAATTCTCCTGACAGGTGCATGTGCAGTGAATGAAGACAGAAATCGTGGTAGGCACAGCACTTTGTGAGCCTTGAAGTGCTGCACTTCAAGGCCCACAAAGTGCTGCGCCTGCCACGAAATCTGCAACTCAAGGTCCGCAAAGTACTGCACCTGCCACGAAATCTGCACGTCAAGGTCCATAAAGTATTGCACCTGCCATGAAATATGCACTTCAAGGTCCACGAGGTATTGCACCTGCCACAGCACTTTGTGAACCTCCAAGTGCCGATTTCGTGGCAGGCGCAGAACTTTGTGAACCTCGAAGTGCAGATTTCGTGGCAGGCGCAGCACTTTGTGAACCTCAAATAAATGGACCTCGAAGTGCAGATTTCGCGGCAGGCGGCACAGCACTTTGTGAACTTCAGATGGGACCTCGAAGTGCAGGTTTCGTGGCCTCTCTCACTCACTCTCACTCACACTCACTCTCACTCTACTCTGACCCTCACTCACTCTCACTCTCACTCTCACACTCACACTCACACTCACTCACTCTCACACTCACTCTCATTCTCACTCTCACTCTCACTCTCTCACACTCTCTCAACCCTCTCACCCTCACCCTCACTCACACTCACACTCACATTCACACTCACTTGTTCACCAACACCACCACCATCACCACGATCTCCACCTTCATCACCACCATCACCCTCTGGACCCCAATGCGTCTGGATCTCTAGACTTTCTGCTGCTACACCTGCACTGTTTGGGGTCTCTTGCTGGGATAGTTTTCCTCAAAGAGACTATGTTGTTATCGCACTTCTCTACGTAAAGTGTGTGCAAACAGGTTCCTTTTCTCCATGGGCGTCTCGTTTATACAGCCCATGAGTGCGCCTGGAATCGGAGATGTCGAACGACATCAGGGGCTTGGAGAAGCGTGTTTCTCAACAATTTTTTCCAGGTATAACTGGTTCAATTTTCATCTCGCAGCTCGCAAGGGAATCGAGTCGTCACCTCAGAGTGAAGACAAGAAAGTGATAGAAAGTGTAATTATTTGTTGAAATTTGTTGAATTTGTTGATGCGTTTACTCTGCTTGTTCTTCGGATGCGCAAGAATGCTGTGAGGATTTACATCGTCGTCGCTCTTGCCGTGCTCCCACTGTGCTGGTTCATAGCCGAGACATTGAAAATTATTGACACACAGACATACATTGGCACATCCTTTGCTTAAGCACGGTACCTAGGCTTGGACGATGCCTCAGCCAATCCTTGCGCTTTTGCCTCAGATGTGCACAGCGCAACACGAGCATCCAAGACTTACCAAGGTCTTCCAGCGTGTCCCTGCTGTCGAAGGGCAGTTGAACCAGCACGGGATACTTGGTTTGATTGTATACCACCCTATATAAGACACTGTATATGTATACACGTGTTCAAAATGGTCTACCAGCTTTTGCTGTGGCAACACAGGTATGTTCCAACAAAAACAAACAACAGCGTATGATATTTTTTGCAAGTGTTTAGACTACATAAAGAAAAGAGACCAACCACAATTTTGAGAGAATCTTTGGTTTGCCAACAACTAAAGTTGCGTGAACAAGGACGCAGCTGTGTTTCTGGAGGGCGGTGGATGTTTTGACCACCGTTGGCTTAAAGGTATGGTTTGCGCATGTTTGGCTTAGATCCACGCGTAGACTCAACTCCTCCCTTGTGTGCTGT